ATGAAAATCTGGCTCCAGATGTGTGATTAATGAAGGTGAGATCAACCAGCAATCCTTATGATGCCAAATTTTACTGAAATCGGTGGATTTCAAAAAAGTACACCCGCCATATTGGATCAGCCATCTTGAATTTTTACAATGTGAATTCATATTCGTAATCAGCGACCCAAAAAACCCCTTTATACAAAATCTGGTCAAAATCCGCTCAGAATTTGAGGTTAGAAAAAAAACCACACGTTCTAGCACAATTCTGACAGTGGATTTGAATTCAGCAGAGTCTTTTACATGAAAATGTACTATTTGATGTGGAAATACATTTTTTTCCAAATTTTCCCAGTAAATTTTCATCAATTTTTCACTATTTTTCACAAGTTTTTTGAGGTTAGGAAAAAATTGTGACGTGATGGGCCAATTCTGATCCCAGATTCGTGTTCAGGAGGCCAAAATACTACGAAAAATATATGTCGCATAAAAAGTATACACAATTTTTTTTTTGTGTGGCTGTGTTTTCAATTTTGAATTTTTTTAATTTATACTGAAATTTTTAATTAAACATTCTAAACTCAATTATTGTGTGATTTTTAAGGTAATTAATAATAATAATAATATTTTTAATGTATGTACATTATAATAAGAGTTGCAAAATTGAGGTATTTTTTTCACTCGTTTCACGAAAAAATAGTTTCAGAAATATTTACTAATACGCAACAGTGAATTTTTTGGCGTACCTATTAGGAAAGAAAGATATGCCCATGTTTAATTTTGACAAGTGAAACTATTTTAGAGAAGTCCAGGTTTGTATATCAAAATGTATTTGTAAAATTGATCTTGTCTGCTTTTTAAATTTCAGACATTTCAAATAAAATAAGTTATAGGTCTAAATATAAAAGAGTACGAAAATATCTCAAAATACTTTTAAGATACAATGAAAATAAAATATTTAGCGTCCTTCCTTATAAAGGCTTACCTTTGATAGTGGCAATGGCCAAAACGTTATGCTTGTACGCCTGTCTCAGTTCCTTATCCTTGGCATCTTCCTCTTCTCCTGTCTCATAAATTATCTCCTTCGACACTTCCTTCAACTCCTCCATAATGTTCAAGAATTCGGCGAGGCTTTTATCGATATTACTGTAGGTGGGGTCCTTAACCAACTGCCTGATGCACTTATTGTTGAAGAATACGTTGATCATTTGGCTGATTTGCGGATTCGACATCGCACTTTGACTAGTGTTGTGCTTGGCATATCTATTAGGCTAGAATTATAATAATGAGTTCATATCCTTAAAAATATATCCATTTACCATTTTGTGTAAGTTAATGTTTTCCAAAACCTCAGAGTAATCGGGGCAGTTGTTTTTCTTGTAACCGCTCACATTGTAAATTCCCCCATATTTGTTTAGCAGCCGGAAAACGAAGTAAGCGTCTGGGGGCTGCAAATACTTTTTCAGAATTTTTGCTTCGTTTTCCAAGAAGGTAGGTAGATACATCTGAAGATAAATTAGGGAAATCGGCGGGTTGAACTTGAGAGAGGATAACATATTTAAATGTGGTAGTGTACCACCAAACTTACCATAACTTTTATAACAGCCAACGTTCTATTCAAAACGTACATGACCCTGTCCATTCGAACCTTCAGGTCCATCTCCATGGGAGTGGGCTCCTTATCCGCATACTTTTTGACGATTTCCTTGAACTCATCGTCCATTTCCACATCTTTCAGTATATCTTGCGCGAATTTCGGCATGCTGAACCTTCTTTATCACACCAATTTTTTTCTTCCAATTAAATGACAAACATTACACAAACATAATTAATTCCAATACATAACAAATGAACTCAATTTGATTACCATAGAAACGGTTTTCATTGCTATGGATACGCATATATTGTTTGAGATCGTTATTCACACCAAGAGAACTGTACTTTTTCTGTAGTAAGTTGCAAGTGAAAATTAAAAAAAAATGGCCGGGGGAAAGAAAAAATCCGCCGCTAATAAGCTTGCCAAAATGAGTGACGAAGAAAGGGCTAGATATTTGCAACACAAGGCTGACATGGAAGAGGAAGCTAAGAGAAGGAAAGAGCAATTGATCGCTACGTTTATGAAGGTAAATTTGATCAAACCTTAAAAATGTTTAGTTGACATATGAAGTGACATCTGCCCATATCAAAACATGTATTGTTAATATATGGGGATAAACTGTTAAAAGCGGAGATATTGATTTACTTTCAGAAAAAAATAAAAAAAGAGGATGCATTCTCGAGGCTGAATTTGGCAAAAATAAACCAAAACTGGCACCAAATCCTTCGCAGGGCAAAATGCCAAGAGATGAAAGAAAACGTAGGGGTAAGCTATGTCCTCTTCGAAATAGTGGTATATACACTTTCATTTTATAACTTAATGTCTAGCACTTGAAAGAGTGGATCGACCGGTTGCTTAACTTCAAGAATCTCACCATTTCAAAGCTAATGGAAGAACTTGAGGATGCCGAAGGACAGTACTCGAATAACTTCCAATACCACTCGACTCATATCGACAACATTATAGGTAATAAAAATAATTTTAGTCAAGTACATTTCTTGTGAGGTGTAAATAATTATTAATTATTTTATTATTAGAACTATCAGGTACCTGTTATTCCAGAATACCAACACGAATATATTGAAAAGCTTCAACAGCAGTACGATAAAGATTTGTGTGATTTACTGGAAGCAACTTGCACTGAAAATGAATTACTTTCAAGAAATGCTCAAATAGAGCACGAACATCTCATGACTATATTGTATGGACAACAAACGGAAGGAAAGAAGGTCTTGACAAAACAGTACGAGTGCTATATGGTGCAACTATATGAAACTGAACATAAGGTACTTAACTATATTACTGATATATTACTACTAAGCTTTGAAATTAAAAGCAATTATTAATCACTGAAAGGTTATTGCGAATACAGCTTCCAAACGAAACAAGTAATTTCGAAATTGGATTGTTTATTAAGGAAATAAATGTTGCCACATAATTTATTCAACACAATGTAGGAATATGTACAATATAACCCATAAACTATAACAGAATAACTATAAATAATACTTTATTCACAACTATCACACTTTCGTAATTTAGATTTCTACATCTTAGAAGGGCAGGTTTCCCGCTGGCCAGTCCTCACAGTTCATTCTACCCTTGTTTGCTAGACAACTCACCAACTGAGTGGAATATGCACAAGAATCCATGTTCTTATCTGAAAAAAATAAAATGCGCACGGTTAAAAAAGCACATCATCCATGAATAAAATAGTTTTGTTCATATTGCTTCTGTCGATTGTTTTAGGCAACTTTAAATTCAAATCGCATCTTTTCTTGTTTCGGTTTTTATGTTGCGCCATCTACTGTTGATGGATCTCACTAACAAATACGTTTCTCAAAATTGAACAACATTGTAATGATCTCTGTCCTATATTTGTTAGGAATGACCTACCGAGCGGTAGATTAACAGAATGTTGAAGTCGTTCATAAGAGCCTAAGCCATTGGCATCCAGAGGGCGCCTCGGATAACATTTTTAAATTCCGCGAAATATACGTTTTTTGTTACTTATTATATTTGCCACTTTTATATAATATTATACTTTACAACGGAATTAAATAATAATTTACCCTTATTTCTGGCATATATTGTAGACCTGCCATATTTGGGCGAAATCCCGACCAAGGTGGCACCAAGACGCCGACAACCTAAACTCAACTACAATAGTTACCTACTTATCATACTTAGATTTCTACATTGGTTTTCTTAACTTTATATAAATTTTATTTGGGTTTTTGGTGTTTATTTCGCAGTTCCTCCTTATTTAATTTATTATACTTAAAAAAAAATTGTTTTAAAGTTTACAATGCAAATATTTCTGAATTTGTAGACTAATTTAACTTAAAGTTTTGTGAAACATCAAACATCATTGTTAAACTAATTTATCTTACTAAATACGCCTGATTTTACGCATTATTTTATTATTTATTTGATCTTGATCCATACCATTTTTGAAATTTCTATTTATTTAACTGTTATTAAACCCTTAAATATCAAAAACTCACCCTGATCCATCTGCTGAAAACAATCGCCGGCGGCTTCTTGTAAAAATATACTGAGCTCACGTTCCGTTACATTTTTGAGTAGTCCCTCGACAATTTTGGAATGGTCCGGGAGTCCGTTATCATCCGTCTTAAAAAAAAGAGCAAGAGATGCGTATTTTTATTACATGTTCGTCATTTTCCTTACCATTCCCAATTGTTTAAATACACACTGCACGATACAGGTGTCTCCAAATTCCGAATTGCTGGGGGTGGTGGACTCATCTGGTTGAACGGTAGATTTGTCGTTTTGTTCTTCAGTTGGGGGTGGAACTGTTTTTGGTTGAACGTTCGAAGCCCTCTTCACTACCCTAGTCAACTTAGCGCCTTAAACATACAAATATCATGATATATAGCAGGTCTTATAACTTTGTTTATGGATTTGCTTCGACATCAATATTTTTTCTAGTACTTATGAGGAATAATTACTCACTCTGAGTCTGAGGCTGGTCATCTTCCATAGACGAAGACTCTGACGAGTCTGAAGCCGGCGTCGCTGAAGACGACGCCATTTCCCATATCTTCTCTAAAGTCGCGTTGTTCTTTATGCACGTACTTAAGGTTTTCTTGACATCCTCACTGTTAACTTTGCCGATTCCACACTCCAAAGCCTAGGCGAGGTGAAATTGAGAATAAAATTGTAATTATTTTGAATTTATCTACCTTAGAATATCCCACTGAGCAAAATACCACCAAAAAGAGTGTACTACCTCTCATTTTGTTCTTACGTTCGGGATAACGTCAAATCGTTAACTAAATTAAAACCGCCTCAGTAGGCGCCTATTTATAGTGGCATTGTCGAGAGCTTTCCGTTATTGAAAAAATTAAATTATTAACGGAACAAATGGGAGGATTCATGCCAAATTAGTGCAAATAAACAAAAAATAATGAGGGCGACAATGGGATGAATACAGAACTAATTTGTCAAACAATCGTTCGTTCTTGGAACATCAGACATGAAGATGCGTTTCCGGCGTTTGCACTCGTTTATAATTCCAGTTTGAATTTTATTAGCTGATTATTTTTTTATGTAGTACAGTACAAGCCTAGTACTGGCCACGAATTAGTTTTGTGCGCGATTAGATCTGTCATATTTTTTATTCAACTCATGTAGTTTTTGTAATAATTTAATAACAAAAAAAAGAACTTGTTTTATTTATAAATCAACTAATTGTAAATCCGGAAGACAGCTTCCTATTCCGTGGGAAAAAAATAGGACAAAGCTGTTGATGCATTTGTTAAATGCTATTGCTCCGGACTAGCAATAGTTGCCCGAAAGGAAAATATCATAATATAAATTACAAAACGGGTATATTTTGAATATACTCTTATGCAAGGTGTTCTAGGAAGGGTTGAAAAGATACAGGTGTTAATGATATACTCTAATAAAGGTAAAAAAAGTCTACTATTTTTTATATTTTACAAAATTTGGTACAAATTACATTAATACAGAAAACAGATTGTAGTAAAATATGTACTAATATCATGAAAACGCATAAACAATCAGTGTTGGGGATATATGCAATCGCTTTAATTAATTTAGTGAGAACGAAGTATGTCTGATATTTTTTGATATCTGTCACAGTCAGAGAAAATTTGATTTCTTATTGCGTTAGAGAAATTTCGTGGTTTTTAAAATTATGTAAAATCATAAGAAAAGCCCGATACTTATTTCCGTAAGTACTCATACACTGCGCGAAATATATTAAGTAGAGATTTATTAACGCCTACAAGATATCTGCTCTATTAAATTCTTGAAAAAATGTCAGCTTTCAAATAGCAATAATACAATTCCGATTAAATTGCAACGATAAGAAAAGGATCTACATTTTTCGCCTCGAAAAAAGAAGTCAAAGTTTCGGTAGATTTTTCGCAATTTTCAATTATTTTGTAATATTAGTCCAATTTAAATAAGCCTTTAAATCGATTTTGGTCAACTTGCCTGAATTTTTGATATGAGTTAGTTTGAGGTATGTTATAACAATATGTGACAGTAATTTTTTGTTCAACCCCCGGCCAAGGGTGAAAAAAGATGAAACAAAGGGGTTTTCAAGATAACTCAAAAAGGGTAAGAGCTAGAAAAAAAAGTTTTTAATGAAAGTTGTAAAGCATACAATTCTACATATGGCCTCTTGATTTTTTCTCGTACTATTAAAATTAACAGAGTTAGGGAGGCTAGAAGTTAAGGGAAGATTTCAGAAATTTAAAAAAATTGTAACAAGCAGAAAAACGAATGAATTTTATATATATATTTTTTCAATCTACTCTAGAAAATGTAAAGAGCCGTATTTTTTTATCTACGGATGAACATATTTACGGGGGGAAATACACCCTCAAAGTTCGCCCCCCAAAACAGTTTTTTCAAAATTTCTGGGGTTCTAATCAATATTTTGAAATGAAACAAAATATAAATTACTTTTGATAAAAAACAAATATTTCGCAAGTGATTCCGTGTTTGGGGGTTGCTACCCTTATTTTTTATTTCAGAAAAACTATATTTTTTATTTATAAAAAATCATATTTACTCAAAAAGAATTAAAAATATGATTTATGTAAACAAATTAAATTGATCTGTTTCGAGGTTTTCGTTAAAATCTCTGTTTAGGAGGGTGAACAACAAATTTGAAATTGTTATAACTTTCTTATTAAAAATTAAAAAATATATCTATTTCTGTGAAAAGAAAGGTTACGTTTTTAGAGTGGATCGAAAAATAAAGTTACAAAATTCATTCATTTTTCTGCTTATGATTTTTTAAAATTTCTGAAATTTTCCCTTAACTTCTAGCCTCCCTAACTTTGTTAATTTTAATAATACAAGAAAAAGTCAAGAGGCCATTTTTATGTAGAATTGTATGCTTTACAATTTTTATACGAGTTATCTTGAAAAACCCCTTTGTTTTATCTTTTTTCACCCTTGGCCGGGGGTTGAACAAAAAAATACTGTCACTTATTGTTATAACAAATCGCAAACTAACTCATATAAAAAATTCAGACAAGTTGACCAAAATTTCGATTTAAAGGCTTATTTAATCGGACTATATGCGCACAATTTGCACAGGAAAGTACAACTCAGAGAAAATTTTAAGTCCAAAATTGGTCACTTAAGTGCATTACTGTATGATTTATTGAAACTTGAAAAAATTGCTTTTTTTCGAAGAAACTCAATTTTTGCAAAAACTCAAATAATTTGCAATTTTAAAAAAATGCAGTTCTTGCAAAAGACACATTCTGAAAGTTTTGTAAAACAATATTTTTTCGGTTTAAAGAAGTCTAAAAAAATGCAATTTTTAGCCTTTTTTCAAAATAACTAATACATTTGTTTATCAATTGATATCGGGCTAAGCTCAACATTTTTGGTATAAAAAGTTCTACAATTTTTCTTAAAACATTTTTTATAATTTTTATGTGTCTTTGTTTATTGAACTAAACTGGTAATAAGTTCCCTACTTACCTTTAAAGGCTAGATAAAAAATGCCAGATAAAATGTACCTATTCATTATAAAAAGGTGCCCTCTTGTTTTAGTGGAGCTTGATGCATCAATTTAAGGTAGTAAAATCAATTTAGCAAAAAAAAAATTGGCCGATTTCCCTTTCGAATCCGACGTTAAATCATACTCGGGCTGTACACTGTCAGGGCCGCAGCTAGGGGCGGGCGGCTCGTTACAACTTCGGATATTCCGCTAGAATACTAGCCTGCGTAGACGCCCCCTGGCTACGGTCCAGGTACCAAACTTTGAGGACGCGATGTAAAAATCTCCTGTTCACTTTTTCTGCCTCTCCTAGTTCAAGGTGCAGCTTTCCCAAAAGCAGAATTCCCGCGAGGCGATGTGCGGGGCCCTCTGGCGGCAGCTAGCGACCGTTGTGCGGCTGTACGTGCAACAGACGGACTCCAGGCGGATGCACCTCGCCGAGCTGCGGGGGCTCGACGCCGAGAGCGCCCTCGAAATAGCTGAGAACGAGGAACGCATGAAGCGACAGGAGGTGAGTGGGTTGCTGATTGTAAATCAGCTGGGGTGAAATATATGTATTACGTTGTTTCTGCATGGAAAGATAATTTTCTCACAACTCTAAAGTGAAAAAAATTGCATTTGCTCCCGGAGGTCTCCAAACTTCGTATTTCGAGGTAGATGCGGAGAAAATTAACATGTGTAATACAGGGTGGCCCGGAAATAAGTGCCTAAATATCGCGTCAAAAGCAACGACTTTTGTGTAAACGTAAACTCCTATTTTTGTAACGCATTTTTTTACCCACTAAAATATTTGCTAACACCAACTAATTTCTGCTTCTTTTTGATATTTATTCATACAAGCTTTTCAGCTTAACTCCAGTGACGTGTGACGAAAATTTAAAAATAAAAAAAATAAGAAATGAAACTTTAAAAACCAAAATGTTTTTGAAAGATAAATTATTAGACATAAATTCTTGCTTTTGATGAGTAAAAGAGATGTTTAAAACTTGGCATTCATTTCTGGGATACCATATTTAAACAGTTGATATTATAAATTACATTATGAAAAAACATTTAGTATCAAAATTTTTGTATTTCGAAATTTATGTATTACAAAATAACATTTGCTTTCGTTTTAGTTTCCTTTACCCACGTACAGCATATATGTGTAGTGTGATGTTGTCAACATGATAATTTGTGTTATAACGAGCGTTCAAATAAAAACGTGGTCGAAGTTGGCTCTGACACATTGGACGTAGGGAGCTTATAGCGACCAACTTAACCTCATTTCTCAACGAGCTGTATAGCAGCTGTCAGTTTCAATAACGTTAATGACTACATAACTTTATTTTAAAGAATAATCGTAATAACAATAACAAACAATTAAAGGAGCTGCGGAAAGTGTCCCCCTCCTTGTTATAACAATAAATTAAAGCAGCTGCTGAAAGTGTCCCCCTCCTTGTTCCAAGCACTTTTCACACCTGTTCCTCAAATAATTAAAGAAATTTTCTAAGATGCTCGGGGTATTGTTAATTTCACGAATCTTGTCTATAAGTCGAGCCTGCAGATGGTTTAAATCAGGAATAGGCAGTTCAAAAATAGTGTTTTTAAGGTAAGGCCACAAAAAGAAATCACACGGCGTAATATCACATGACCTCGGTGGAAATTCATGTTCAGCATTGAGACTTATTAGTCGATTTTGGAAAACTTCCCTCAACATATTCATCGTCTCGCCTGCCGTATGTGCCCTTGCGCCATCTTGTTGAAAGTAAAAGTTTGTAATTTCGTTTTCTTCCAGCTGGTTAACAAAAGGAGCGATAATTTCTTCTCTATACCTTTGCGCAGTAAGAGTACCATTAAAAAAAATAGGTCCATAAATCCTCCTTCGATTGAGAGCACACCAAACTCCAATTTTTTGAGCGTGTAGAGGGCCCTCGACAAAAAAGTTATCTGGTTTTTCAGAAGACCACATTCTCATATTCTGTGAGTTTACGTAACCACTTAAATGAAACCAGGCTTCATCAGAAAAAAAGGTGATATTATGAAGTTCACCGTAGTTGTTTAAAAACCATTCACAAAATACAGCCCGTCGCGGAAAATCAACTTCATGAAGTTCTTGCTGACAAGTTAAACGATAGGAGAACAAACGCAAATCTTTTTTTAACACTGTGTGGCAGGTACCGACTGATACTCCCACCATTTGTGATAAAACACGTACAGAAGTTCTTGGCGCATTTTCCATTATTTGTTGGACATTTTCTTTTAATTCTTCAGTCCGCTTTTTAGGTCGGCCGCTTCCTTCTTTTCTTGTTACACTGCCCGTTTCACGAAAAACATTAACACAACGCTGAACTGCACTTTGAAAAATTTTGTACTCAACAACGCCGGGAAATTGATTTTGAAATTCTATGAAACATTCCTCAATAGAATACTTCCATATTCCATCAATCTTGCGTCCATTTCTAAAGTAGGACTCTATGATAAACACTTTTTGTTCTTGAGAAAACACCATTTTAAATGCTTTTTAAAACGAAAATATTCAAATTGATAGCGGCGATATAGCGCTTTGACAGATGACGTTTAAGTTCATTTGTTATACGCTACGCCCTACGTCCAAATTTTCAGAACCAACTTGACCACGTTTTTATTTGAACGCTCGTTATTTTGTACCAACTTTGATCATTAAATTGACTTAATGACAATTGTAACAGTTTTTATTTTGGGAGGAGGATGTTGGTTTTTCTTATGATTCTCGAGGAGAATCATAAGAAAACAGTTGTATCTCGAGTGTATTTTTTTTAGAGCCTTATAAATCAGCTTGAAAATGATCACGACAATATGCTGTTCGACAGAGAAAAAACAATAAAGACACTCGAATTCGAATTGGGAGACCTCGAAAAATTCTTCCTGAGGATGAAGAGAAACCTGCAGAAGGACCTCCAGACGGACGAGACGAAACTGTTTCTCCTTACAGACTGCGCGACAAGGAGCCTTCATTATTTGGAAACGTTGGCTAAGAAGGGGGAGCAGATAAAGTATCTGGCGAATGCCTGCAAGAGATTCGAAACGGAGAGGGAGAAGGTGTCCAAGTGGCTGCCCATAACCCGGGGGATCGCGAAACACGACGAGGACGACGAGGAGTTCAAGAGAAGCGTTAAAATCGTCTCAGAGCAACTGAAGGACATCGAAAATGTGGAAGCTACGTTTTACTCCATACAGGACTGTGGTAAACCAATACCTAACTAAAATTTGGGGTCAACGTGGAGATAACGTATTTTATTTTTCAGCCTTGCCCCTCCTGGGTCGCGCGTCGCGGAAAAAATCATCGGGAAGGCCGAAAACCGCGATTTCGGACCCATTCCTCAGGTCCGCCCACACGATATCCTCGGCCACCCCCGATTCCAGACGCGTCACCACCGCAAACGCCGTCACTATTCACACCAAGGGATCTCGAGAATTTCCCTCGTCCAGCAGTTCCCAGAGCGAACCGTCCGCCGCCAGCGAGGAATCCACGAAAGACATACTGGAGAGGTGTTTCGAGTCGTTGAAGGGCATGGAGAACTTCTGGTTCGTGTTCAACAAGGCCGAGATGGACCGTCTGGAGATTAAGGAAGAGAAGCGGATCCTGGAGAGGGAGAACAAGGAACTGAGGGGAGCGATCAGGGCCGTGCTGGAGGCGGCCGCCCTGTCTCAGAGCATCCCGAACAGCAGGGCCTCCACCAGGTTGCCGTCGAGGAGGAGGGCAGCCAATTCCGCGCCGCTCAGGCGCGTCGTGTTTAACTGAAAGCGTTTTTTTTGCGGCGGATGATTTCGCGAGTGAAATATTATTAGGTAGGTTCAACACTACATTCCTATTTTTTTAAGCTTTATAATATTTATACTATTTTATTTCTTGTTATATTTATAAGTTTACTGTATTTTAATGCTCACTTTAAATCACATCCCTTGTGTTTTACACTCGCAAGTTTAAATATAATATTAACACTCTTATATTATTTATTTGTACCTAATTGTTCCTCACCTGTGGACTAAAAAGTACGCCCTATCATTAATTACTTAGGCCTTTCACAAGGCAACGGTGCTTCGCGAGTGACGTCACAAAGCAATAAATCGCTAACCACTGGCGGGCAGTCCTTAGTCGATTAATGAGTCAAGACTAAACCTAGGTTTATGCCATGACTAATGATTAATTGATTAGACATTAGTCATGGATATTAAAACTAATTAATCATAATCTAGACTAAAGATTGATTTATTTATTAACGTCGTGACTAAAACTGAAAACTAATTTCGTGTCTGTGGTTTCCGTGGAAGTATTTCAACGGGTAAGTTAAATATGGCCGATATTATCTGTTTCTGTTATACTTATTCGCGAAAAATTGTGACTATTCTCTACAAGGTGATTCGTAATTCTCCTTTTATTGCGGCATACTTCTTTGTTATTAAGTGTTTCGATGAGGTAAAATATAGTCGCATGTAAAACGTCGCACGTAAAATGGAATCGGAATATTAGTCCAAGCATTCTGTCACGGATTTATGTTAAATTTGCAGAAATTATTACCTGGACAAAAAAAATATGACCGTACAGAAAATTAAATTTTAAATTGAGTTTCTTGTTCTTTAAACTCGATCCAATATGGCGAACATGGTTAAAAAAAATCGCAAAGTTGAAAAAAACGGTTTTTTGTAAAATAACTAAAAAAATATAGCACGGATTGAAAAATTTTAAATGAGAAAGTTGTAGGTTTTAAAAAGATCTATCGACTGATTTTTTGAAAGTATCGATTGCTTTGTTACTTTTCGAGATATATCGAAAAAACCGTTAAAAATCTTCTCTTTTCTCTTCTTCTATAACTCGTTTACATTTACGTGCCCATATTTGCTATTTACTGCAAGCATAGCCCGCGGCAAGCCAAAAAAGTACATTTTTGAAAAATTTAAAAATATTAATTATTTTTCGAGATATATCGATTTTTTGAAAAAAAGGCGCTCTCGAAAATTGGCTAGATCTTCTCAGCGGATAGCCCTACAGTAACGATTTTCGGTTTATTTTCTTCGTAAAGAGTTATATTATCATGCTGTTAAAAAATGTTGACGATTTTATTAATTTTAAGGATCAAAAAATGACTTTGAATAAGTTGCACTTTTTTGGGTATGTTTTTTTCAAATTACTATTTCAATTTTTATTTTATGAAAATGACTTTTAAAGAAAGAAAACTAAACATTTACGGGTCTATTTTGCTTCTAAGGCGAAAATGCTATAATATTCGTGTTTAGCTACCCCAGATTAAGTACAAAAAAATAATAAAAATTGAAATAGTTATTTGAAAAAAACATACCCAAAAAAAGTGCAACTTTTTCAGTCATTTTTTGATCCTTAAAATTAATAAAATCGTCAACATTTTTTAACAGCATGATAATATAACTCTTTACGAAGAAAATAAACCGAAAATCGTTACTGTAGGGCTATCCGCTGAGAAGATCTAGCCAATTTTCGAGAGCGCCTTTTTTTCAAAAAATCGATATATCTCGAAAAATAATTAATATTTTTAAATTTTTCAAAAATGTACTTTTTTGGCTTGCCGCGGGCTATGCTTGCAGTAAATAGCAAATATGGGCACGTAAATGTAAACGAGTTATAGAAGAAGAGAAAAGAGAAGATTTTTAACGGTTTTTTCGATATATCTCGAAAAGTAACAAAGCAATCGATACTTTCAAAAAATCAGTCGATAGATCTTTTTAAAACCTACAACTTTCTCATTTAAAATTTTTCAATCCGTTCTATATTTTTTTAGTTATTTTAGAAAAACCGTTTTTTTCAACTTTGCGATTATTTTTAACAATGTTCGCCATATTAGATCGAGTTTAAAGAACAAGAAACTCAATTTAAAATTTAATTTTCTGTACGGTCTTATTTTTTTTTTGTCCAGGTAATAATTTCTGCAAGCATATCTCTATAATGCTTGGACTATATGGTAGATGACAATAATTTAACATCTATTTAAAAATGTAAACACGAAATAGATGGTAAATATTTTAAATAATCAACCAAGTAAACATTTTATTTCATATATGTAGGTAAAAAATAATTATTATCTAAAAAATAGAACGCCCCTATAAAATATTTATGCTAAAAATTCTCTCATCGATAAAATGCGAACAGTGATTATGATATTTGTATTTAAATAATAATTGTTTAATTTTTTTGTAAGATTACTGCTTTTTTCGTACTTACTTAAAAATATACAGGTTGTTAAAAATTCGCTTCTCACTACAGGGATCTCGGAAAACGGTAAGAGATACGAAGTAGCTTAAATGGGGCAAAAATTGCATAATCAGGGGACCAACATTATGCCTCTAAGAAATCAAGGCTGACACGATTAGTTTTCGAAAAAAAAACAAAATTTTGGAAATCCAATTTTGTTTAATTTCAGTCTCGTTTGAGGTGATATTGAAAAAAGAACAACATTTTCTCATGGCCACTTTTAGCCCTCTATCGAATGATATAGTCAATTTTTATATGAAACGTTTCGTGTCTCTAGAACCATCATCAACTTAATTTTTTAAATATGATCCTAGAAATTTTATTACATTTTTTGCAAGCCTTCATGACCCCCAATACTGACTATCTCAGCTCGAACCAGATCCAGGCGTTTTGTCTCGTAAAATTCATCTTCAATGTATTCGTTCCACCTGAAACGACGCTGAAATTAAACAAAAACGGATTTCTAAAATTTCGTTTTTTTTTTCAAATATTTCGAAAACTAATCATGTTAGCCTTGATTTTTTAGAGGCATAATGTTGGTCCTCTGATTATACAACTTTGCCCCCATTTGAGCTAGTTTGTATCTCTTACCGTTTCCGAGATACCTCTAGTGAGAAGCGAATTTGTATCAGCCTGTATATCTCAAATGCGCCTTAATCATATGTAGAAATAGTTTTATTTTATTTGTTATTTTGGAAATGAATGAGCATTACTTATTATACAGGGTGTCCGAAACATATGAATACAAACTTTAGGGGTTGATTCCACTCATAAAAATTGTTCGTGTTAATTCAAAAATTTATCATAACTTTTGCATTTATAATTTTACATATTTGTAAAAAGATTTACCCCCTATATTGTTTTCTCACAGTTTTTGGATACCCTCTGTAATTAATAATTCTATTTTAGAAAATATCCAAGCCATTTTCTGCAAAAAATATAAGGTTTTCTTAAAGAAAACCATTTTCTTCTTCTATATCTTTTTCCACTTTTTCATGAAAAGTTGTAAATAATAAGTTATAAGTAAATTTTTCTCTAACGTGTCATTTAGTCAGCCACAATTGAAATTTTATCCCTAATTCTTAGCTAATACTTGTCATTGGGATATGAGTATTAGTTACAGAGGTGAAGATCGTTGACTAATTTAGTTTGACTATTTATTCGCTTACTTTTAGTCAGAATTGAAGATTTATTCGACTAATGCCCATCTTTGTTTGTTTGCACAAAATTTCATCTCCTGAGAAACACATACATGTCTGTTTTTAGTACACACTTTACAGTTTCGTAGTAGTAGTCTTTGAGATAAGTATTTCGAAATCTGTTTTAATAGAGGATATACTTTCACTAGGTTCAACAATTTCCAGCCTGGTTACCACGTCATTACACTTGACGTTTCAAGAGACAACGTTCTCTTCTTCAGAAGAAAGTGAAACGTTAACAAGTTAAACCGATGACGTGGCAACCAGCCCGGGAATTGTTCAACCATTGCCAATTGACACTGCAAACCAAGCAATGTTTTCAATAGCTACACTTGCATTCAACTAAAAAAAAAACATATCAGATTGACTTATTTCCTTATTTTTTTCTGTTTCTTTCTGTTCTATTTATTTATTCATTTTATTAAATTCATCTCTTGTTGAAACATACATACATTTTAAAAAGTTTTGAGTTTCATCCTTGCTTGGTTAGAAACACTATGCTACAATTCTAGTTTCGAAAAATCAAGAGTACGTGAATCAACTGTAAGCTTGCGTCCAGTTGCATACAATTTTCCTTAATAAATGCTTTGACTTACCACCACAACAATCGCACTAAATGTAGTGAGATTTTTCGAAGCTAAAGTTGTAACAAATTAGTTTTCAATCAACTAGGGCGAGTTATTAGTTATAAATTACCTAGAAATTCAGTTATACATTTGGAGTTATTAAGTACTCTACCCTATATTATTGCACAGACAGTAGATAGTTTTATCCGACAAAGTTATGACGATTGAATGACCAGTCCTAGTCCGTAGACTTTTTAAAGAGTTAAGTACTACTGAAAGTTCACATAAGTTTCGAACAATTTAATTACTTAAAGCTATAAATAAATAATTAAGTGTTTATAATACACATGCAATCTAATCGGAAACACTAAACTAGTTCGCGTCCCTCCTGTGCCAGTTCAGAATGGTAAATTGTCCCTAAGTACTGCTTGTTTCACAATTTTGTGTTTCTCGCACTTCCCCCACCACGCAGATCGCACGCATTTCCTTTTCGGCTTCAAAACGAAACATTTCGTCTGCACCACGTTGAAGAAGAGCTTCCCCACCAGGTTGGCGTCGCTGGTCCTCACCATCTTCAAGCACGCCCGAAAACTGAAGAAAGGGAATCAAAATGAATTATATACGCTCATAGGATGTTGTAGCTTTGATTGAATATCTCATATTCAGAAAGTTAGACCAAGCAAAAAAGTCCTATCACTCCTATCTGCGAGATTATTGTAAAATTGTCTAAAGGAACATAATACAAGACGTCTCTCATCTCGTGAGTCAAAAACTTTTATTAGTTAACTTTTCTATTTAAACAAATAAGTGAGGAAAACAGTTTTTTCACGAATGTATAAATCATTACCATGGAAAATACTTTACAGCACTATACATTCTCTAAACTGAGAGATAAATAGGTCTTTTTTAAATATGCAACTATTTTTTATTGTTCTTGATAATTCTTCAAAATATGCCAATAATATTATTACTGGTATCCAGTCGTCTGCCGATATATTCATTATAATTATTGTTTATATCACAAGAGGCACAACGTTAATTATATAAGCCAGGTTATCGAAACTAAATAAATGTGATCTTGTGGCCTAAAGCGTTGCGCGTTGTCCTACTAATCTAAAGGTTCGGGGTTCGATCCCTGATGAGGTATGGTTTTTTTCAATTAATATAATATTTCGTATGTAATTTTTCATCGTCTACATTTCAAGACAAAATATTTCCGCACCAGTTGCTGGTCACGAAGTGAATAATTTCTTACAGTGTTGCCAAATATCTGCTAATTCGAGGCGCGGTAGGTTGCTTGTTAAATTCTGCCAGAAAATCGTGAAATATAAAATACAGATAAGTAGGTATAGACCAAGCAAATTAAATTTTTACTCGAAAAAAGTCCTATCCCACTTTTGGCACACTTTTGAAGTATGACAAAACCCTCAATTTGTCATAGGTTTTATAAAATTTTAAAAATAAATAAAATATAAACAAATTAAAAAATGGGCACTTTTCTTGTTTTTTTTGCAATAACTTTTTTGTTAATTAACCGATTTTAATTTAACAAGTCTCATTTTGTAGACAAGTTTATTCCCTACAAGCCGAGAGTCACTATTCGCTAAAATTGATGGTTTTCCCTGCAAATTGAAAAAACTGTTTTCCTCACTTATTTGTTTAAATAGAAAAGTTAGCTAATAAAAGTTTCTGACTCACGAAACGAGAGATGTCTTGTATTATGTTCCTTTAGACAATTTTACAATAACCTCGCAGATAGGACTTTTTTCGAGTTTCTCTTTTATTTTCGCTAATTTTCCTGGTGTAAGTATCTTTGTTGCTATGTGACTATATTCCCAGTTTTGGCTTTGTTTTCATGTTTCTTGGTATCACAGAAAACCAAATTTTGACTTAAACTACAAGTGTTGTCTGACTACTTTAATTCAGGGAATATCCACAGCATTATTTTAGAGGAAAATAAAACTACTAATTTTTGTCACTTATAATTTTAGAGAAATATTTATTCAACTGGGTCAGCTTATTTTAAATTAAAAACTGATGACTTGAAAATGGCTAGTTATCCGAATAAAGTGGATGAGATGAAAACGTAATTTGGTCAGAAAAATATTTCTGAAGTACATTTTTCTATTATTTAGTAACTTTTCCGCAGAATAGTTAATACTGTAAAATTACCATTACTCCTCAAATATTAGCGATTATCCTCTCGCACCAGGATCACTATATCATCGAGAAGACTTTACCTTCTCAGTTTTCCGGATCTCTCCATATTTTAGGAGCGGCTATGCTACTTGCTCTCTCATAATTTACCTCAATAAATACTTCGGGAACACGGATTACTCGAGAGGCGATTGTCTCGATGGCCCAGCGGTCATTTTTATGGGAGAAGCGATTTTGAACGGTCCTTAGCAGTTTTAAGTTACCTACCTACGCGGTTGTTCTACTGGATGCTCACAGCATTGCAGTTTTTCGAGTATGGAATAACTTTCCTATTAGTCCCTGATCGTTACATTTGCCCCACTAACACAGTTCAATACGTGTAGCGGTTGAAAATTTGCATATTTCCCATGAACGATGAGCTTTCCTTTAGTATTTCGGTTTTGATTAATGAGATGAAATGCTGAAGATTTTTTATTATTAAATCTACATCAGATCCTTTTACAAAGTATTGTTTTGAAATACCGATAAGTTAATGTAGACCAGGGTCGATAATTTTTGAAACCAAAAAAAATTATAGTAGGATGAAACCCATTGGAAAAGAAAGTTGTAGGTAATAAAAAGATCTACAACTTTTGTATTTACACTTTTTTCACATAACCTCAAAATTTATGTGAAAAATTCAAATAACCAACTTTTTGGGTTTCTATTTTTCTTTTACAAAAAAAAAAAAAATTTCACGAAATTTGGTGAAAACTTACCTATTTATGTCCCAAACACGCTGTAATTTTTTTGATTTGAAATATTTATTTTTTCACCTTATTTTTACTTAATATGGAAAAAGCACCCTAATTTTCAATCGAAAATTCTCACGTCAAAATATCTGCTTTTTTAAAAACGTCGGTGGGCTTTTTCTTCGTTCAAATCTCTACTTTCTGATGGTGTAAAATAATATATACATTACTATGGTAAGTTTTCTCAGGAAATGCAAGGAAACGAAAGAAGATTCTACAACTTTCTCAAAATATTTTAATTGTCTTTTTAAATATTAACTTTATTAACTTATTTGGTTGTTAATTATAATAGTATATTTCGACTTGTAATTTTTTTGTTTATCAATGTAACATGGAATCTTACGTTTTTCGAGTAATTAAAGTGTAAATTTTAATAAATAGCTCAAAATTGTACATAATGATTAGAAAAAAAATTTCGGATCTAGTTTTTTTCGTTTCTTTGCATTTCCTGAGAAAACTTACCATAGTAATGTATATTTTTTTACACCATCAGAAAGTAGAGATTTCAACGAAGAAAAAGCCCACCGACGTTTTTAAAAAAGCAGATATTTTGACGTGAGAATTTTCGATTGAAAATTGGGGTGCTTTTTCGATATTAAGTAAAAATAAGGTGAAAAAATAAATATTTTAAATCAAAAAATTACAGCGTGTTTGGGACATAAATAAGTAAGTTTTCACCAAATTTCGTGAAAAAAAAATTGTTTGTAAAAGATAAAAATAAAAAACCAAAAACTTGGTTATTTGAATTTTTCACATAAATTTTGAGGTTATGTGAAAAAAGTGTAAATACAAAAGTTGTAGATCTTTTTATTACCCACATCTTTGCTAATTAACTTTTTTCCATAAGACTTGTAGTTTTTCCGGAAATCAAGATAAATCGTTTTTTACCCTTAAAAACTCCCCCCTTCCCCTTCCCGACCTCAGATCGCCCGTAAATTATTTTTCTTTTCATTTCTGTTATATTCTCTTCCTTTTCCAATGGGTTTCATCGTACTATAATTTTTTTTCACTTTTTACCATTTTTGAAGGCTTAAGCACTGGTCTAATGTCGAAAACGCCGTTTTTTTAATTTCAATTCACAGGAAAGTCTGTCTCTAAAGCTTTTATTAACTATTGACACATAATTCTGTCTCATTTATAATTTAATATAAAGTTAATAATAATTTCGAGTTAATTATTATCAATTAATAAAGTCCTGACAATAAGACTTCTATCTCTTTTCAATAGTTCATTGGTCGAAAAGTAACAACATTTATGTTTTTAATATTTCCAAAACTTAAAAGAATACACGGTTGTAGATAAACAATTTAACATTTTTGGAATACAGTTGACTAATCTGGACTAGGTAAAATTCTCCCACCCTGTATAATTCGTTAGGGGTCTCAGGAATATCCGCATAGAACGGCACTTCTCCGATCGTCAATGAAGAGTGATGCAAGAGTTAGGTGGCAATAAACCTATTAGCCGCACCTCACTCGAACAACACAAATCCAGTAAAATAAACAGAAAAGCCCGAAGAAAACAACGTCCTCGTCTAATTCCGGACAAGTCCAGAGACACTAACCACCGGCCATTAATTAATGGAACTCTCGCGTCAAATAAATTGGACTCGCGGTATCGCAGTGGGCTTGTTACAGTGTTTCTGGTCGACTTAGCACGATCAGTGTCAATTAGTACCAACTTTATTTCTATAACAATCGCCTTTGTGTCGCACTTTTTCGATTGGCCCAATCCCGGGTCTCGGGATTCTTTAAGCGGGGCGATTAGAAGTTCCCAGAAAGTGGAAGATGGTCATTAGTGGTGTTGGATTCGCGTTTTGTTATATATTTTTTTTTTCGGTGGCAGCGAAATTCGGTAATTAGTGGCAGCGAAGATTAAAAGGCCCGATGCAGTTGTCGGTTTTATGTGGTAGTTGAGGGATTCATGCGGAGGATTTTCTCGGTGTTTAAGACAAAGGATGTCGTTAGCACGATATAATCAAGATATTTATAATGGCTGTTCTATATTTTTTCCGCAATAAATTGAAATTCGGGAAAAAAGACTTTTTTCCAAAAGAAATTACAAAAAGTGGAAAATTTCGGAAACAATGGAGCAAAATATAGTTCTAGATAATATGTTTGCCAATATAAATAGCATTTAGAAATATTTTTGATAAAAATAATGCCACTTTTAGAAGCTGATAAATATCCTGAATATATTCATACGAGTATAATGACCAAGAGCTTGTTGCTTTGGAATCAGGAGCATTAGACATTCAATCTAATGTTCATTAAATGAATTTGCCTCGGAATTTGCAAAACAATGTTTCTTTTTTTCGGAGTTCGTTTTTTTAGTTCAACACAACTGAAATTTTGTTGTTTTCGTCGTTTACTCATGAAAATGTAAAATGTTGTTATTTTTTGAGACTAAATAATTTTAATAAGTAGTCTTTCAACTGTTTTAATTATAATTTTTTTAATTTTTCCAACTCTGAAAGACGTACCTACTACTTAAAAATAATAATGATCATTTAGTCCAACCAAATTACACTTAGAGAAAAAAAATTGTTACCTGGACTTTTATAAGTGGAAATGGTAAAGGGGCTTATGATAAACGAAAAAACAAATAAATGCGTGAGCAGGGGCGGCGGAGGGTTGATTTGGG